TGTGTGTGTGTGTGTGGTTTCCTACGAAGAAATGTAGAAAATACAAAAGATTACAGCACTGTGTAACATCACTTAAATAAATTTGCCTATACACTTTTTTACATATATACATCACATTTCTTATCAATGTACATTGAATGATTAACAATAAAGATTAAAAATAAGGACAAAGATGCACATTACAAATACGTCATCCTAGATAAACACAACATCCCCACTTAATAACAAGCATGTACTTCAAAGATGCACAAATAAAGATATAAGTGCAAACAGAATACAGTGATGTCAACATTGGTTTTAATAAGCAGTTTTCAGTGAAACTGATGAGTCACATGGTAAACGTTTGGCCCATATGTGCTCAGCCATGCCAAACCTAGGCCAAATGTGACAGCTAGCAGCCACATTTGGCCCAAAAGTTCTTGCTATCTGCAAGAACTTAATGGTAACAGATACACAAAATAATAATATTGATTCAAGCATTTAATATTTAGGAGTTAATTAACTTAAATGTCAATGATGAACAATACTGCACAAATTATAGCGATCACGAAGAGGTTCCTTATTCTGTCCCAAAAGCATACAGTAAAGTGGATATGCAGTATACAACACCCATCAGTTCAGTACTGCCACCTGTTGGCGCAGTTGTGTAACTTAGAGAACTACTTTTGTTATGTCGAGATCACAAGAAAACAAGAAAGAAAAATATTGCATGGCCTCAGGACTTCCGTAATAGAAGACACTTTCTCAATTTCTGTGGCGGGCTTTCATTCACTTCTCCGATTCCAGCGGAAATAGCTTGAGAAGAAAACAATTAAGAATATGTCAATTTTATTAATATTCTGTCCATTCTGTTTGGAATATATATAACGAGTTTTTGATTGTAGTTTTAAAAAGCTCATATATGATTATTATTATGAATTTTATTTTAATCAAAAGCCATAAGTAGACGTCCTGTTCAATGTTAATGCGACGTCTAGGCTGTCTCTGACTAGGAAATCAAATAATAATATAACTGAACTGCGATGTTAATGCATTTTATTAACGAGAGAAGCGGAAAATATGCTATATTGATATACAAATTAAAATCTAAAGCTAATTCATGTAATTCATCTTGTAACGTGTGTTATGAAAGCAGCCATATCAGCTTATGGAGCCAGATCAGCCTCACAAATAATACATGTACAAAACAAAATTCATAAATGCACAGCACAATTTAAATTTACAAAATCTGATTCGAAAATTCATAAATACACAAGTAAAAGCATAAATAGTTCTCCAAATGCTCACAAATGCATCTTACCTACATACATTTAAAATGTTTTCACAAATATGTATATATATAAAGTTCTTGAATTGATTTCCATCACACATTTATGAATGATGTTACATGTATTTATGGATCGTTGAATCTGCATTTGCAAATCGTCACACGTGCGTGGACTGCTTTGGATTTGTTTGCTGTGAGGCCTTCCTGACAGGTTAAGATTCATAAATATCTTTTTTTTCGGAGGATGTAACAACTGATCTGGCTCCATAATCAGCGACTGATTTTATTGATTTTAAGTTAAAACTTTTGACATTCATGACAACATTTTGACACTCGAGGCGGAACGGATTAATTAGTGTCGAGGGCGTTCAGGAGTGTGTTACTCGTTGCGCGTGTTTACTTCCGGCGCAGACCGGAAACATCAAAGGGTTTCTGGAGGTGATCGAATGGTATTGTGCAGAATTGATTTGATTACTGCATTATAACAGATTATTTTCAGTGGTGAAGCTGTTTTTGCTGTCAGTGGTGATAACCCGCGTTCAGAATGGGGTCCCACCTCGTGCGGAGTTATATCACGGAAAGAGACGCGACGCCGGACCCGAGGAAACCGTCTGCATACGACCCGCAGCTGGGCTTCCCTGAGCGGGAGGAGAGAGGTGACACAACACCGCTCAGCTACACGCTCACCAGCGCTTTTCAGACATTATCCGTCACTTTCAGACTTGTTTTAGTCTGTAAACATGAACCGCGAGTCTTCAGGTCCTCAGATTGACTTTGAACTTCAGGTCCAAACAAGAGGCTTCAACAAAAACATGCCCTTAATGGTGTCTATTTAGCTGAAAGCTGTGCCCTGTATTCTTGTAGAGTTGGTGTCAATATAACTCAGAGCCTAAATTACTAGGGGCCAGTTGCATAAACACGGACACCATGTTTGTACAGTCATAACTAGTTTGACTAACTAGCAGTAAGAAATAACTAGCAGTAAGGTAATCAGTCTTACTTGACTAATTTAAATTGGGCCAATCTACCTTTTTGTAACTGACTTTAAAAAGTTCTGAAGAAAACATATTGGATGACTAACTTTTTAAGGCTAGAAAAAAGGCCCAGGTTTTAAATTGATTTAAATTGCATAAATCTTTCCCTTAAAAACTCAACATTTACTTCCATTTGGATTGCAGTTTTAACATTAACTAGTAAACTGATGCATATTTGTCAGTCATAAATAAATGCAGCAGGCAAGAACGGTAATATTTCTAAATTCGAAATAAATAAAACGTAAAATGTTTTTTTTTGTTTTTTTTTTGCATCTGTTTGATTTTATTTAAATAATTGTATGTTCGAAATACAGTTATTCAAATAGCTTAGAATCAGCACAAATCTGTTCATGGTTAAAACAATCAAATGTATTCAGTTAAAAAAAATGTGAACATGGTTAAAATATGGCTAGTTGTTGGACAAGCAATATTCAGGTAAAATATGAAATTGAAACATCAGATTTATTGATGATAAATATATAACACATATTTTTCAGACTTTTGAACACATTTACCTCCAAATGATGGGCCTATCTACTCACCCTGTAGCTATGAGAGAGAGGGACACATACATATTTCCTGATCATAAATGTAGGGGTGCAGTTATTTTCAGGCTCAGCCAATGGACTAAAACATGCACTGTTTCGGTAGTGACATGGAAAATGCGGGACATATTTTTTAACCAAGTTTCATAATTTACTAAGAAGAAAAAATACAACAATTATTTCAATATAATTGTAAGTTGAGGGGTTAGGGTTCGGGACAACCACCTCCCAATTGAAAGTACCCAATAAATTATGATTTTATATATTATTAAGCTTACTAATTTTTTTAATATTAGTGTGGGTTTCAATAGATAATAGAAGGATTTTAGTAAACATCTAAGATGTGAATACTTAAATGCTTTTTAAATGCGTTTTTTGGTTGTGGGACAACAGTTTGCACCAATTCTGTAGAATCTGTAGAATATATTTTATATTTGTGACCCTGGAGCACAAAAGCAGTCTTAAGTCGCTGGGGTATATTTGTAGCAATAACCAACAATACATTGTATGGGTCAAAATGATAGATTTTTCTTTTATGCCAAAAATCATTAGGATATTAAGTAAAGATCATGTTCCATGAAGATATTTTGTAAATTTCCTACCGTAAATATATCAAAACTTAATTTTTGATTAGTAATATGCATTGCTAAGAACTTCATTTGGACAACTTTAAAGATGATTTTCTCAATATTTTGATTTTTTTGCACCCTCAGATTCCAGATTTTCAAATATTGTCCTATCCTAACAAACCATACATCAATGGAAAGCTTATTTATTCAGATTTCAGATGATGCATAAATCCCAATTTCAAAAAATTGACCCTTATAACTGGTTTTGTGGTCCAGGGTCACACATATATAACATTTTAGTTGTTTTGTGTTTCACCCTTTGACTCCAAATGCTTGAATCTGGCTAAGGTTGACCTGTCATACCTAGTTCACTCTGTAGTGTAATAGAAGGATGAACGTGATGTATCGTTTGTAGTTGGTGATTGATTTTCTTGTGAAACTCATCTCCTTTGCTTCGTGTTGTTAGTAATGGTGGCGACGCGCGAGCAGATGAACCTGGCCATGCTGCCGGTGGAGCAGCGCGATTACTGCGCTCACTACCTGCTCAAACTCCTCAAGTGCAAGAGAGACAGTTTCCCCAACTTCCTAGCCTGCAAACACGAGAGACACGACTGGGACTACTGTGAACATCAGGAGTACGTCAACACGCATTCAGACACATCCACTCATTGAACTGCACTACTGCAGATGCAGGCACTGGTTTAAGATGGTTTTCACTGATTTCATAGCAGCAGATTGGTGCAGATTGGACTTTGAAAGCATATTTGTTTCCCAAAGTAATCGCATTAAATTCAGCTTGAACAAAATTGTAAATCCTGCTAGATTAATTATTTAGATGAGCAGTTTTAGAAGTTTTTAACATTTTCCTGAATAAATATTATTCTCTCTTACATTTTTTTTTTTTTTAATCTTTACAAAGTTTAGTAATTTATCAATAATAATACAAATCTTAAAAGTTAAAATAATTAATATTAATTAGTAAAACACAATACATTTTTAAATGATTTAAAGTGAAAGTGTAATTTGAAGTAGGCCCACAACTGTTATGTACAACAAATTATCATCACGTTTCACTCTGTGGTGATCAGCAGTTATGCAAGAAGTACTTTTTTGCATGCTCAAAATTTGTTTTGGTGAATTTTTAAAAATATGTTTGTCTTACCGAGTTTCTCTTCTTCTTTGCAGTTATGTGATGAGGATGAAAGAGTACGAGAGAGAGAGAAGACTGAACTTGAGGAAAAAGAGGATCGAGGAAAATGCAGCATAAATAGCCCACCCTCGTCTTCAGTTCTCCATCAGTTGTTTCTCTGTATATAAATGGCTCTCTCAATAATAAAGATTATCTTGTGAGCTCTCAAAACATGAATGGAGCATTTTTTCTTAAAACACACAGGGATGCATATGAAGACTTTTATCTAGAAACTGATCAGAGTTATGCTGCACAACCAATCTAGCAGAATATAATAAAATGCTACACTTTTCATGAATTACACAGCATGTATTATGAATGTAAACAGACAAAACGCGAGCCAATGACAGTGTTTTTTTTATTTTATATAAATTGTTAGGTCAACAAAACAGTTCTGACATCTGCAGTCTGCGCCAAGTTACCTTTAGCTTCACGTGTAGCCTAATAATCACTCTTGGAAACTTCTCTACAGTCGCTGGTCTTCAACCGGTTACTTCAGGTCCTCTTGTTAGTGTTTTTTTGGTTATTGAGTGACAAGCAGAACTAAACATCTTTACTGAACTCACAGCCATCACACTGTCAGTGCATATCAGAGATCGCAAAAACAGATACATTAGCACATAGTGCACTCAAAATACCAAATGACTCCCAACAGCTGAGCACAAACGAGCTACAGAGGGGCAAATACTGTAAATGCATGTACATGTCGGACCAGTTTCCCCTCAAAGCTTCTTAAAAATGAAAATTCTGTCATTTCACAACCTCGTTTTTTTTTTTTAACTTCCGAGTTTCTTCTGTTGAACATAGATGTTTAGAAGAACGTTGGTAATCAAACAGCTGTCGGCAGCCATTGACTTCCATAATATGGAAAAACATTCTATGGAAGTCAATGGCTGCCATCGACTGTTTGGTTACCAACATTCTTCTAAACATCTTGTTTTGAGTTCAGCACAAGAAAGAAACTCGTACAGGTTTGTAACAACTTGAAGGTGAATAAATGATTTTTTTTTTTTTCTTTTTTTGGGTGAACTATCCCTTTAAGATAAGAAAACGTCCATGTCTGGAGCAAATTATTTTGATATTAAATACATGACCATTAAAGGATTTGTATTGACATTTTATTCTCCCTTCAAATTTTCATGAATGTAATGCAACAAAAAAAAAAAAGATTTTATTACAATCATCAATTCAGGACAACAACATGTTCATGTTGTATACTAATTGTTTTTTTCACATTACAGCAACCACTGAGAATTAAGGGTGTGTTCGATCATTAAAATAATGTTAAAATCTTAATGGTCCTAAAATGTGCTCTATTATCTTTGTGCAAAATATAAGTTCTTATTTCTTTGACTGAATTATGATCTGGACATGCTCTTGATCATTTTCATGAGATTTCCCCAGATGACAGACATCATGCAACCCACAGAGGGCGATATGGAGCCATTAGAACCAAGCTTCTGGAGGTTCTGGATCTGAGCTGACTTTATTATTCAGAATCAGTCCGTTCCAAGAGATGAGCAAATGCAGGAAAGATGCATGTGAAACAAATAGAGGCGAGCCATGGACACAGTATAAAAGAGATGATGAGGGGAGGACGGGAGAAGAAGAAAAGGTTCAAAAGACGAAGGGAACACTGTGTGACTCGGTCCTACAGGATGAAGGGCAGGATGGGCGAGCGCAGCGTGGGATAGTCGCGGAACTCCTTCAGGTAGCTGCGGTGCTTTCCTTTCGCCCACACGGTCATCTGAATGAAGCCCACCAGCGTGAAGGCGGCCACGGGCAGACACTGGGTCATCAGAGTGAAGCCCAGCCACGAGCCCAGCTGCGTTTACACACACAGACCAGAGATAAAAAACATACTGTGATTAAAAAAAAACACACTTCAGCCAACTGATTTTTTTTTTTTTTATATATACATGTAAGGTAACACTTTGCAATAAATGTCCTGTAGTTAACCTTAGTTAATTGCATTAGTTAACATGAACTAACAATGACAATTTCTTCTAAAGCATTAATTAATCATAGTTCATGTTAATTGCAACATGTACTAATACATTTTTAAAATCAAAACTTGTGTCTGTTAATAATGAACCTGAGCTAACATGAACTAACAATGAGTGTGTATTTTTATTTAGTAACATTAACAAAGATTCATAAATACTGTAATAAATGGGGTGCTCATTGCTAGTTGATGCTAGTTAATGCATTAACTAAGGAAGGTTATTGTAAAGTGTTACCACAGTAATGACAATAATTATCACATAAAATAATTCATATATAAAAATAATCATCATCATAATGGTAGATTATATTCATGCAGTTTTGTTCTTTTGATTTTGAGGTGTGTAATATGAATTTCCTGATGTATTTCATGAGCTTCACCCTTTAGAGGTTTGTCTTATTGATATATAACCGAGGTCCTGTGACGGATTCAGAGCATCACTAATTTGATAAAACAAAATTTCTGAGTTCAGCTAAATCAGCACTCAGAGGAAATCAGCTGTCAGTCAAACAGCATCCAGGCTGAGTGTGGCCATCTGACCTCATATGTGTAGTTGGGGCAGGAGACCAGCAGGAAGATCCAAGTAAAGGGGTTTTTAGTCGGATATGGGATCTTCCTAGTCTTAGATCCTGCAGAAAGAAAAAAAAAATTGCTTTTTTAATCTGTTTCTTGACTCATTATTTGATTAGACTGCCAAAAGTAAAGACAATAGACTATATGTGACCCTGGACCACAAAACCAGTCATAAGGGTCAATTTTTTTAAATTGAGATTTATGCATCATCTCAAATCTGAATAAATAAGCTTTCCATTGATGTATGGTTTGTTAGGATAGGACAATATTTGGCCGAGATGCAACTATTTAAAAATCTGGAATCTGAGGGTGCAAAAAAATCAAAATATTGAGAAAATCGCCTTTAAAGTTGTCCAAATGAAGTCCTTAGCAATGCATATTACTAATCAAAAATTAAGTTTTGATATATTTACGGTAGGAAATTTACAAAATATCTTCATGGAACATGCTCTTTACTTAATATCCTAATGATTTTTGGCATAAAATAAAACTCGATAATTTTGACCCATACAATGTATTTTTGGCTATTGCTACAAATATACCCCAGCGACTTAAGACTGCCTCCTTACCTGGAGGTCGAAGATTTCTCAGGGCAATGTGGATGGAGAAGTTTCCGATCTGACAGAACTATGACCGTAAAGACATCATTAGTCCTGTTAGACTGAAGCTCTGACCTGAGGTCAGTTTCATCATGTATTAGGTAACGATTGAGACTTTTAGCATCCTGTATAAAACCAGATCTTACCAGGAACACAATGAGGGCCAGTCTGATCTGCTGTTCTCCATAGACTGCGAAACACACATGAGCGAGAGCTGAACACACATTTAAACCCACCAGCGGAGAACGTCAGTGTCATTTATAAATCCATATAAACGTAACATTGGCTTAATTGTTGTTTTATGAATCAGGAACCACTAAAGTAAACCAAAACATATACATAAACTGCGGTTCAAAAGTTTGAGGGTTGGTGAGATTTTGTCATGTTTCTGATGTACATTTTATTTGATCAAAAATACATAAAAAAATAAACATAATATTGTGAAATATCATTGCAATTTAAAACACTTTTTGTATCTGAATAGATTTAAGAATGTGATTTATTCCTGCGATGCGAAGCTGAAAGTTTAGTGTATGAATGCGTGTGGACTCACTGGGTGGCGTGTACAGAGGGTGGTTGATGTAATAAGCCATCCAAGCTGCAAAACCCCAGTAGTATGTGCAGTTCTGCAAAACACACAGTTAAATGTTTTAATATTACTGCAATAATATCTGAACAGGAAGACTGTGCCAAAGTCAGTCAAATACATGAAACAGACAATGGGCCAAATGCTGCATTAATATAAAAAGTTACGATTAACAAACAGTAGAAATTACATCTTAAACACAACTAGGCGCTTCAATGTGAACATTTCTAGATTTCTGCTCTATTCGAAAACACATTTTTCTCTCTATAAGAAAAGTCATGACTCGACATGCTCATGCTGTGATTTCACTTCTTTGTGCTCATGAATAATTGCCAGTTTCAGAAAGAGTTATTTCCAGCGCCAGCACTTTCTACAGCAGCTGTTTCTTAGAAACATCCATCCATTCTTATTATTATTATGCTTAGCACAGGTCCGGATCGGGATGCGCGCTCTATTATTGTCTGGAACAAATTCAAAGCAATTTTAGCACATGTTTCACATGCATCATTGGTCATTAATAATTCCCTCTTTGACAATGCCAAATATAAAAGCATTGTCAGATGTTTTATGCAATCTATAAAACATATAAAAGAAAGGTGACACTTTTTTTATGTCTCAATAATCCGGCAATACATCTCAATTTGCATGCATCTACTCTGCAAATGTATTTTCATCCATCACAAGGAGCCGTGTCTCTCACCTTGAAGATGTTGCGCAGAGGCATAGTCCCGTGCGAGAAGCGATGGACGAACAGTGTTTCCAGGAGTCTCTTCACGTAGTGGAAGGAGTGACACATGCACGCCAAACTATAACAATAAAAACACTCAATTACCCATCAGCCCTCGGACGCCATCGGTCCGTTTTACTGTGCAAACTGTCACAGAAATAGACACAAAAAAAAAAGAAACTCTCTTTACACAGGACACTAACTTTTTTAATGATTAGCATTAAAGAGATCAAAATTGTTTCTTTATTGTCATGCAACGACTGTAAACAGTAAATGCTCAAATGTGAAATGAAAAGCATTTTATATTGTTTCTGTACTTACTGTACAACCCAGTGTTTGCTGGTGGTAAAGTCATATTTAGGAGCATAAATAAACGGGACTCGGAAGTAAAACATGAGATAGATGAGCAGAGGGCCGGCGTACTCCGTCAGAAACACCTGAGAGAGAGACAGCGACAGTACAGAAGCGTTATAACGCGCTCAGTTCCTCTGCTGTAGGAAGCACGGTCGTGTTTCCAGGTTATAAATATCTCATGCTCTCACAGAGATAATGTGACAGACACTAAACCGACTGGTTAAGAGAGATAGATTAACACACAGCCAGACAAACACAGACTTTAAGCACGTCTAATGCACATAATTGAGTCAAACTATGACATTAGACACTGAGCTCTCTAATTTCTGCCATAATTATACACGACCGCCATTTTACAGGAATACTGTTTACAGAATAATGTTAAAGTGGAAAAATACTGGAAATTCTCATCTGGTGCTTATAGTTTTGATTATAATAAATCACATCTGGTTGCAGAAGTTTAAATATTTCAATGCAACTGAAGCTCAAACCGGATCCAAAATTTCTGCATAAACCTACGGTAGGAACTCTCCGCAGATTCCACACTAAACTCCAATGGAAACGAATGACTTCTGGTCTGTCGCTTGTCGTTCGCCAGAGACAGTGTCAAATGTATGAGGTAATTAGCTAAGACTGTGTGTGTGTGTGTGTGTGTGTGTGTGTGTGTGTGTGTGTGTG